TGCTTGGAAGCATAAATAAATAGAGAAAAATATATTTCTCACATTGAAACAGATATGTGTGGGTACAGGGTCTAGAATCTCTATACCTATATCCCTCTCCTACCTCTTTTTCATTGTAGCTGCCCTTAAGTGGAATTTTGGGGAAAACAATATAGGAAACCACATCTAAGGATCATGGGGAGCCACCAAAATTTTTCAAAGCAGAAAGATGGATAACATGATGAGATCTCTGATGGGATAGATTGGTAAGGAGAATGGACTGAAAAATAAAAAGCTTGTTCCATAGCCTCCTGATAGTTAAATAAAACCAATCAGTAGGCTAAAGAACTGACTGAGAGAAACTCAACCTTCAGCAGAGACAATGGATATAGAGAGAAGTGGATGAGTATGAAAGACATTTCTATACATTGCAATAACAGAAGCTAATGATTACAGTAAGAGCGAGGGAGGGGAAGGTTGCTGGATGAGGAAGTTGAACTCAAGTGGGTTTCTTAAGAAGCAACCAACTAGAAAGGAAATCTCTAGTCTAATTTCTAATAACCAGCTGACTTTCTTTGAGTTTCCACTAACTCAGGTAAAACCAAAATGTAATCACTCATGCCTAGATATATTTTCCTCCATCTTTCTTCATCTAAGACTTAACTTTGCTAGTAAAATCCTTTTTTTCTGTGATTGTTGTATTGGCTTCAGTTGTATTTGTCTCTCACTAGAAGGGCCATTGACAGCAATTTTCTCTTTATAGCTGACACACAGGATGTATTCCACAAGTTCATTTTTAAGTTAATTATTTGAAACTCAGAGTGCATGTTCCCATACAAGTGGCATTATGCATAGTGAGTATGTTCCCAGGCCAGTCCACAAAGGCCAGTGTAGCCCATAATATAAATGAAAGTGTGGATTTTTTTGTAATGGAAATTAGTTGAAAATAATACTGTTTCAATTAAAACACAACCATAGTTGAAAAAGAAATTGTCCGAGCTTTTGTTTCCTTCAAGGGGTAGTACTTGATGAAAAGCAGATTTAATCCTAGGAAGACAGAAAGAAATAGATAAGGAATTTTGTGTAAATTGGACAGCACAGCATTTTACATTTATTTTTAAGTGATGTTTTAAAGAGTTTTTTTAAAAATAATAAAAGCAGCCACATTCATTGTAGAAAATTTGGAAAACTGAAATATATGTTTTGAAAGTTAATCCTACCACCGAGAGAGAACCACTGTTAAAACATATTGCTATTTCCTTTCAACCTTTTTCTTAGAACATGCATTTAAAACCAGTCCAACAATTTTAACTATAGAACATCCCTTTGCTGAACTATTATGTAGTTCTTAAAACTATACTTCTGAAGAAATTTAAAAAAACATCAAACAGTATTTATGATATAGTGTTGCATAAAAGAAATCAAACTTGCATTTGATACGTATACTGGGGACCAGGGTGTGTAAGCAGATCAGCACTATTCAACCTGCAGGAATCATGTGTTAGGCTGCCAACCAAGACCCCTTCTCCCCCACCATTAGTCCCATCCCTGCAACAAAAACCACAGCCATTCTTTTCATAGAAATTCAGAAGAGGACATATGCAATCTTTGAAGTTCTGCAGCGGTTCATAACACTAGTTCCTTATATTGTTGATTCTCCTTCAAATTACAGGACTTACTTCTCCCTTGCCACACTGTATCACTAACACCATTCAGGCTTCACAACTATTATCAGAGTCATTTTTTATTCATAAACAGAAAGGTAAGCATGTATTTCCTGAAGTAATTAGGCATGGATTGAAGAGAGATGAGAAGAACTTGGGTAGAAATGTATCTGTACTTGTGAAGAACAATATTATATGGAGTAGAATGTATTGAGCAAAGAATACTGAATGAAAAGTGAGAAAATGAAATAGTACGACATGCAAACAGATCTATGCAGAGTGGAAAGAAGGAAAAGGAGATGTGTTTGTTTAGGACTAGGCTTAGCTACACAGAAGAAAGGAAGCAAAGGACAGAGAGTGTGGCAGAATTGTGGCCTGTTGAAATGAGAGTTTTAGGTGGAGGCAGCAAATGTAATTTGCAGTAACCAATTTTCTTTTGGTAAGGGAACTGAAATGGTTTGTGTGTACATGTGCTTCAAACACTAATTGTCCAAGAACTAAAAACATTCTGAACTTAATTTATCTACTATGATTGTGCATCATTTGATTTTCACCCAATTGATGATTTCCTGAAAGCATTCTTTTTCTATACTACCTCCTTTTAGTCAAGACTAGATTTGCCACTGGCTTGTATTTTGGCATGGAAATCCTAATAGCTGCCACCTGCATTTGCTGTTCATCAATGAAATAATTTAAAATTAGATAGGAAGGGTGAGAAAAGGAACTGATTTGTTTGGAGGAGGGCATATTTACACTGGGTATTTTTTAATGTTTTGGGGGAAAAAAACAACAAAGTTTCATCTCACTCTATAGAAACATGTGGCATTGTAGTTCTCATTCATTACTATGCAAGAGAATCCCCCTCTATGGGATTTTGTAGCTCTCATATTTGGTGTACTTATGATACAGAGATTCTGAGTTTTTAAGTGAGCTGCAAGTCCTTGGCCAGTAGGTTCTCAATGTTGGCTGTAAATTGGAATCTTCTGGAAAGCTTAAAAAATGACCAGTGCTTGGATTCCATGCCCAGAGATTTTTACTTAATTGGCCTGGGTTGAGAACTGGGCATGGAGAATCTTTCAAATCTACCCAAATGATTGTAGGAACCTCCAGTTTAGACTGTTGCTTAATTAGCTGGGTGCATTAAACCAGTTCTCAAAGTGTGAGCCTGGAACCAGCAGCTTCTCCATCTAAAGGGAACTTATTAGAATAAAAAATTCTTGGAACCCTCTCCAGATTTACTGAATCTGATTTACAATGGTGTGACCCAGAAATCTGTGTTTTAACAAGCCCTCTTGGTGATTCTAGTGCATGCTATAGGTTGGCAGACACTTTTTGCCAACCTATAAGGCAAATCCTATAAGGAGTGGATTAACCACTCCTTCCTAACCCTTTCTAAAGTACATCTGTGGAGTTTCCTGGAAAGGAGGAGAGATGTTCTTACCAGCTGATGAAAATTGGCTTGGGAAAGGACTTTAATTTTAAAAAAACAACAAACTTTTTAATAATATTATTAGGAGCCATGCTGCAGAAAAGGGAGGAGAGTTGATAATTCGCTGCAAAGCCCAAACAAGTTAAGGAGGGGCCATGTCTGCATAATAGGGGATTGGTTGCATAGGCAGGCATAACCCTGGTGGCAGTACCTGCAGGAAAACCCCTATTTAATCTTCAGGATGCTGTTCAAATGCCAGGCTCCTATGTGAAGCTTTCCAAGCTCTGGTATAAATTGCTTCATCCTTGTGTTTACTTAGCACTTGCTATGTTCCTTGATTAGGTCTTGTCTCACTGTATTGGAGCTCTGTCTCTCTCACACTCAATTGTGTGATCTTTGAAAATAGAACATTCTCTATAAATTGGATTGGCCAAAAAGTTCATTTGATTTTTTTTCTGTAAGATGGTTCTACCAGCACTTAGTTGTCTTTAACTTCATTCAAGACAGTTTTGCTAGATTGTATTGTAACAGCTGGCATATCAGCATGCATTTTTTAAAAAAAATTAAAGTTGGTGAATTTGTGTGCAACCACTTTAATATTGAAGATGGAAGAAAATATGCAACATTTTGGCATATTATTCTTTATTATTTCAAGAAAGGTAAAAATGCAACTGAATGCAAAAAAAGATTTGTTCAGTGTATGTATAAGGTGCTGTGACTGATCTAACATGTCAGAAGTGAAACATGTGCGAAGTTTCATGCCAGAGATTTCTTGCTGGATGATACCTCACATTCTGGTAGACTATTGAAGTTGATAGCAATCAAATTCAGACATTAATTGAGAACAATCAACATTATACCACACAAGAGATAGCCAACATACTCAAAATATCCAAATCAATAAAGTTATTGGTAAAAATGAAAAATGTGTCTTTTATTTTATGGAAAAAAAAAACAAACCCTGAACGGACTTTTTGGCCAACTCAATATCTTTGGGTCTTCCGGTGTCTAATAATAGCTGATGCAAACTTAATGCTCTAGAACTATTTGCTTAGAAGAATAGTGAGGGATGACTAGCTTTTTTGGGCTATCAAGAGCCTTTGAATGATGAGCTTTGTGAATTAATCATGGTCTCAGGTATGACCCTCCGCCTTGGAGAATAAGTCTCTTGGTTTTTTCAGCACACCATGAGTAGATAGATATCTCTGGTAGCCTTATACAACAGTGATTTCAGTGACATATTAGCAACTTACTATTTTACAGTAGGTTCCAGGGCTACTAATATAAGTTTTTCTTATAGGTAGACCTTCAAGGGAAATGTCATTAAAATCTATAGAGATACATCTGCCACAGTACAAAAGTACTTGTGTTTTGGGACTTCACAGGTTATCTTTCACCCAGGCACTGCCATCTTCTGGTTTTTATACTCCTCTAATTCTATAATGGACTCTGTTCATCCCTGGGTTGCTCACAAATATTATTTATTCAAGATAAACACTTAATAAATTACAATCTCCTTTGCAACCATGCCTTTCAGAGGTTATACATAATCAGGTTAATATGATTTGATGTATACATTTTCCAACTCTTCAGAATCACAAATTAATAGGCAATTCTTGGTTTAATTTCCCAGGTGGCTAATACACATTCATTATAGCATATGGATTTTTACTGGTTTAACTTCAGAGGATAAACTTATAACCTTATTTCCAAATTTTGTGGGGCAGGGCATCTCAATGTCACTTACTGCCAAGAGTAATATTTTCTAAAGGTTATAGAACTTTGAAATATACACCAATGTCATTCTGTGTACTGGAATTTTAAGATCCACTGAATGAAGCAGAAGAAACTGGATTTGTATCTTCTATGCCAGTTCATAATCCTAATATGTATGTGCTGAATAGATTTCTCTAATTTTTTTCCTATAGGCATTATATCTGATAGCTACTAATGGAACCCCCGAGCTCCAGAATCCTGAAAGGCTGTCGGCTGTATTCCGTGACTTTTTAAATCGCTGTCTTGAGATGGATGTGGATAGGCGAGGATCTGCCAAGGAGCTTTTACAGGTGAAAATAAAATAGGACAATTACAAAGAGTCATTATATTGAGCTTTTCTACCTCAGTGTGTGACAGCAAGAGAGCTCTGTCAAGAGATGTCTAGTGAGAATTAATTTATAATCATGTAATTTTAGACCACAGGCACATTAAATATAGACATGTATCTGATACTTGGTTCATTGATATGTTGCTGTCGTGTTCTAAACTTTACTTGTGCCCCTGGATATTGCATGCAGGTACTCTTGACTGAAGGTAATTATCTACATAGCTATGTAATTAGTTCCATGACATTTGCTATTCTAATGCTTTAGTGATCAAAGCCCCTTTGCTTGTGATGCCAAATGGCAGGTACCTTCTTGTCTGGGTGAGTAACATCCAGTGGTGAGTGCCTCTGTAACCATTTGTCCTTCCCATGTTTCTTAGGGATTAGTATACACAATGATAATTATTAGTACCTATGACGTACCAAATTCTTTACACACATTATCTCATTTAATTCTTACAGCAACTCTATAGGTCAGGTGTTATTATCTCATGTTACAGATGTAAAAATTGAGGTTTACATAGCTATTGGGTGGTAGAACTGGGATTTGAGCCCTGGATTGTCTGATTTTCCACCACACAAACATACAAACAAATTCAGAATAAAAAAATGAATAGCTCAGAGATATTGCAAGTTTGCAATAAAGCCAATATAGCAATAAAGCCAATATAGCAATAAATGAGTTATTAGGTTGGCAGTGAGAACACCACCAGGTGTTAGATTGGTGGAGCCACACAAGACTTTGGTTTGGCAACCTCAGTACTTGAGTTCTGGCTAGGAAAGAATTCAGAGCCAAGACTCAAACTATAAGAGAAAGTTTATTTAGAAAGTCACAGAAGTAGAAGAATGAGCAGTAGAAAAAATAGGCTCAGGTCACAAATTACAGAGACAAAAGAAGGGCTCTTGGAGCTTAGGTGAGAGAAGGGTAAAGGTAACATGCCTGGGGAGAAGAAAAGGAGGAGGGGAAAGGTGCATGCATGCTCCTAAAGAGGGAGAGCACCCTGGGTCCTCTGTCCTAAGGGTATTTAAGGGTGAGGATTTTAGGGAAGGTTGTAGGGGAGGATCTCAATAGAATATTCATCAGCATTCCACGGATGCCTTTTCAGGGTCATGGTCTCCACTGATTGGTCAGCACCAGAGCAAGGGATCATTAGTCAATGTAGCTGGTCCTGAGGCAGCCTTGGCATGGCTTGTCTAGGTTACTACTGTTTTTGAGTCTGAGGCAGAAGCACAGCTGAAGCCTAGGTGTATTTGATGCGAGTCAAAACCTCATTCTTGTGGGGGCTTTATGCTTAAGGGCTGTTCTCTGGTCCCCTTGTTTGTTCCCCCTCTAAGAGAGTCTAACCTGGATGACTAGCAACATGTCAGGAGAGGAAAGGTCAGAGTAAGGTCAAAACTGCATGACAAGTGATATAAAAGGTCAGGAGATCTAAACCACATGTCCAGTGATATGCTAGGGGAGGAGAAATCTTCCTGGAGGCAAGATCTTTGTTTTCCCAGTTTTGCCTGTTTCTGGGCTTCCTGCCCTACTGACCTTCTGTACCTGGCCCATTGTCCTTTCTCTGTTCATATCTATTTAACTGCCTACTACAATAATCAATTTGTTGGTGGGGGCATCGAGCTTTCAAATTGTAAACACACACACACACACACACACACACACACACAATATCCATGAAGTGCAGTAAAGTGAAGTGCAATAAAACAACATATGCCTATATTTATATTGATAGAGCAACATATGTCCAGTATTACACATGTAGCTTCACTGCTGGGGACTGTTTCTCAGGGACATGTATCAAGCTCTGTAACATTCAAGAACAGTGACCGATTGTTCTCTCTGAGATTTTGAACACATGGTCAAGTTAAACAAAAGGTACAACTCACTCAGTTCCAGGAAAAACAAAAACAAAAAACAAAGAAAAACCAAAAGAATTGTTTCCATTTCTCCTGAACTCCCTCCTAAGACAGAGAGTCAACACCAGGCAAAAAAATATATCCCTTAACTCAAATCACACCAGGGATAAACCTATTGCAGGAATTAAGGAAGCTACACCTCCTCTTTTCTGCTACCTATGAGCATTTCACAGGCTCTTCTAGGACCCTAAAATGTCAAATCTGGAATGGCCCGTTATTAATCCTCTAGTTAATTATCTCAAATTACAGATGAATAACCTGAACTTTTAAGTTCCACTCTTTTCACTCCTCTCACCACCCTACATATACATCCAAAGATAAATGAAGATATTTGTTTTCTTGATGTAGCTATATGGTTACATAGATAATTGAATCAATTATCTAGTTAGTTCATTTCCTAATAATACTTTTTTCTGAACCAGTGAGATAGCTGATGCAAAACTATATTGAGTCTAAAATGAATAGTTTGTTGCATGTCTTCATTTTATATACATTAGCAACAACCCATACATGAACTTAAGTCCATATGACCTTATTCTCTGACTGTAGTTTATCAATGCCCAGTTTAGAGGTTAGAGTAAAAAGGTACATGACATTCGCACCACTGGAAGGTTTGAGAAAAGACACAGATATTGACTATTTGTGTGACTTTCTCTATGGCCTAAGCCAGTTTTCTGTCCCTTAATTGATATCTATTAAGCAACTTTTATTTGTAAGACTTAAGCGCAGTGTGTGATACAAACCTCTTAAAGGCATGATTCCTCCTCTCCAGAAGTTTACAACCTCTTGGGTACATAAAAGAAATTCAGGCTTGTTTAGAGACTTATCCAAACCAAGTGACAATTCAAACAGTAAATGCCGTGATTCAGTTGGCAATCAGAAAATGTCTATAAACAGAAGGAATTCTTCTGGGATTTGGAGGACAGATCAGTTTAAAATAGGTTAAAGAAAAGGGAGGAAGGAATTACAGATGGCAGAGCTATAGTGTAACCAAAGTCATGTAGGCAAGGTTTAAGGAAACAGAAAATAGAAAGTACAGCTGAAGAGCTCAAGTAGGAATTTGTAGGAGATAGGACCATTGAGGGCCTTGAACACCAGGCTAAAGAGTTAGGAATATAGGCGGTGGGGAAATACTGAAGATACCCGAGGGAATAGCATGATGAAAGCTTAGATTAAAAAGAGTAACCTGGTAGTATGCAATAAGAATTAGCAACAGGGGGAAAAAATGAAGGCAGGAAGATCAAGGGGGAATTGTTGTTATAGTTCAGGATTAAAGTTGGTTAGGCCTGAACTAAGGAAGGCAAGATTTGATCATTTGATCAAATGATCAAAATAAGATCATTTTAAGAGGTATTGAGAAGGAAGTAGTTGGTAGCTGACTTCATGTAGAACATAAGACAAAGGAAGATAAAAGTGACTTCAGAATATAAAATTACTGGTAGCATTCAGTAAAAGCAAAAGTGATAGAGAATAATACAATGGCAACATGTCTTTGCTTCTATGTAGTTTACAAGGAACTTGCATTTACCTTACCTGATTTAACCATTGTAATAAGCAGAGGAGAGGATTGAACTTAGGCACTCTTACTCCAAAGCCTCTGTGATTTACATCACACGAGAGGACCCTATGTGGGAGTCTTTAACATGTATTTTTAAATGCTGAATTCAAGGTGACAGAAGGACATTTAAAAGGAAATACCCAACAGGCAATTGAAGAAATAGGACAAAAATTAAGGAAAGAGATCAGGTCCCGCAATATAGATATGGGAGTCATCCCCATAAAGCTGATGAGAGGTTGAAACCATGAAAGTAAATGAGCTCTCAAAGGAATTAAATTAGAAAAATAAGGGAATAAGAGCCAAGTGGGATAAGTGCTGGTATGTAGTAGGTGGAAGGAGGTGAAACCAGGGAAGAAGATGGGAGGGAGCAGTCAGTGAATATACTTGTAGAAGAGAACCAAGACAGCAGAATGTCACAGGCTCCAAAAGAGAAAATCATTTCAAATGAGGAAGAGATATTCACTTGTATTAAGTACTGCAGAGGAGCCAAAAGTAAAATGATGGAGGCACAGCTATTGGCTTTAGCAGTTAGGAAGCCACTGGTTTCAGGGTCAAGGTCAAAGATGTTTTTTCAAGCATAAGAGCAGCTCCAGATAAAATCATCAGTTTTAAGAAATTCAGAAAGTCAGACTGTTATAAATACTGAGATTTTACAAGATCCCAATGTAAATTTCTAGTTTGCCAGTCACCTTCCAGAGGGTTTCATAACACTGAGGGACAAAAACACCTGAAGGACTATTCTAATAAAATAGCATTTAATTGGGTGCTCAAAATACATGTTAATGAAAAAAGGGCTGCTTGAAAATGTAAAGTAATATACTTGTTGAAGGAAAGAATTTGAGTAATTCCTCTTTTTTTTCTTTTGCAGCATCCATTTTTAAAATTAGCCAAGCCTCTCTCCAGCCTGACTCCTCTGATTATTGCTGCAAAGGAAGCAATTAAGAACAGCAGCCGCTAGGACTGCAAGATTTACCCCACACCACCTCCCCCATGAGTAAGACTGAAATAAAACTCTGCGGTGGGAAAAATGGGAGAAAGACAGTCAAATGGGGTGGGGGTTCTTTAACTTTCAAATGAATAGAAACTTCTTATAAGCCTTTTTCCTACTCCCTCAGATTATGTAATTTATTTGTAAGCCTGAATCGCAGCCCAAACAGGGCAGCAATGTTGAAGTGTCCATAAAGTGGGCACTTCCACCGTGAAGCGAAAGAGCCAGTAGTGAATCCCCTCATTTTGTGCACTCACTTTGAAGAAAGAGGTTTCTCAAAGGTGCACACTCCCTCTTCATAGTGTTGTGTTTGTTTTTAAGTTAGAGAGTAGTCCCTCTTGCATTCAAGCCTCCTTCAAAACTCCTTACCCAATGTGATGTTTTTCACTTGCATTGTCATTAGATGTCCAGAAGAAAATTGTTTTTTTAAAAAGAAAGCAAAAAACAAAAAAACAGAACAAAAAAACAAAAACAAACAAATGAACAAAAAAAAAAAAAAGCAAGTACTGTGTGAACATGTGGAAGTCCATGCCCTAATAGAATTGCAATTTTTTCTTCTTCTTCTATAGTGGTGGCTTGGTTTGTGTACTTGTTTTTCTGCACTTGCATTGGAAAGGGTTTCTTTTAAGATACTTTCCAAAAGCAAGGAGGAATATGTGTGTTCAGGAAAGACTATCAAAACTGTGTATCTAAATAAAGCTCTAATGGTGAAATCCTGTCACATTTTCATGACTATGCTTAAGAGGTAGTTGATTTAACATTTAGTTTGTCCAACTTCATGATACCTGAAAAAAGACAAGCCAAAATTGTTGCATTCCTGTTGAGTGAGTCCAGGCACTGAACCTATGAACTCTTCATAGGAGAAACTATATTTAAACAAAGATGGGACTCTCTCTGAGAGCCGAGAGGAAAATAAGTGTGAAGTACTGAAATCCTTGTTGGACAGTAAGTAAGCAAAGATTTAAAAATACCTAATTTAATCCTCTTTTGTGCTTTACAGTGAAACATGTGCACTGTAAAATAGATACATCAGGAGGAAATGGACCCATTAACCAACAGTTACTTATGAAAAAATTATTTATTTTGACAATTTGTAACATTTCAAATTTTTAAAAGATCTGGAGAACAGAGATATTTTTGTAAGCATTCAACTCTGTAAGAAATGGGAGGTCAGTGAAAATCATTTCCCAATCAACATTTGGCTATAAGAATTATTACCATTTTCCCCATATACCACCAATTTCTGTTTCAAGATATAGTATATTCATACTTAGTCTTTGGGGCTTTTGAATTTGAGAAACATTCTCATTTTTAATAATCGGGAAGTTCTCCAGTGAAAACAATTAGGATATGCAATCATATGTCCCAAGAAACATAAGTCCAACTGAATTCCTTTTGTGGCTTGGAGAAAATATGAAAATTTGACTATCATTTCACCATGTGGCTATTTATTAAAAAATCAACAGTTGGAACTTCCTGAATCTCATGAGAGTAGCAAAATATCTGGAGGGTGTTTGCATAGAAAAGGATATGCTTCTCTTTTGAATGTATCGTCAAATTTTATAAATTCTGCAAAGTTGTTGAAAAGCTAGCAATTTCTTGTAGAAGTCTTCTTAATTAGTAATATATCAAGAGTTTGAATAGAGCCTATCTACGTTCAGCAAGAGGGAGAAAGAAATCAATGCCTCGGGCCTCTCTCCTTCTTTGCCAAGGTGCATCCATCCATCTAACCATTATCTCTTCCTTAAAATGGAAGCACTTTTATTAGAGAGTTTCTGCTAACCATATAGTGCATGTTTATGTTTAGGAAATGACACCATTGGTGGATTTCCTATTTTCCTATTGTTTTCTTTGACTATAAAATTTTGGAGGGGCTTGAACCTCCCAGAAATGTCCACAGTGGAATAAAACAACAAATGTGAAAAGAAAATCAAATGGAAATATTAATTTGAAGCATACCACATTACACTTTGCAAAAACGTGGCTGGGCCTGAATATTTTAATGCCATACTGTCCTAATGAGAGAAAGGGGGGGTTATTTTTATTTCATTTAAAATTAAGTATTTTTTGAAATTTTATCCCATTCACAGTGACAGAGAATTCAATGAAATAATACCTGGGATGCATATAGAATTCACAACATTGATAAGTATGCCCTGCCAGTGGAAAGAGCCCCAAACCTGGTTGGAAATTCCTAGTTGACAATTAGCATCCTTTTTGTGTCATAAAGGCCTTTTCTGGTGGGGGGAGACCTGGATCCCTGATCCTTCAGATCACTGTAGGCAGAGAAATGGCTGCTCTTCTATGCTTTCAATTCAGCATATTAACCACGAGGATCCAGGTACTTCTTTGTCATATTCCACTGTACCGAGATTTTATAATATATTCCAATAGGCTTTACTCTTACAAATTTATATCTATGTAAAATTTAAAATAAAAACAGTTCTGAAGACCCTTTCCCGTGTTGGAGAGTTATGTATATTTCTAATAAGTATTAGAGAGAAGCTGTTTCTCCTGCCAAAATGATGCTGAATAATTCACATTTGGTACCCTTGAACAACTTGGATTCCAGATGGTTAATAGTTTATTCCCTTTCCCTGGATTTTTTTTAAAGCTCATCTTGACACAGGCGAATCTGTCCAGATCTTTCAAGTTGCAAGTGTGCCCTGAGATAATGAGGGCACATCGTTGAATGTTGTTTGCAAAATGTCCTGAGATAGAGATAGGGCAATGGGAAAGTCAGGGAAGGATGAGAAGCACAGAAGAGATTATTTATTTAAGAAAGAAAAGAACGTTAATGTTGTAAAAAGGATCCAGTGCGTTGTCATAATCCCATGAGGATTTTTGGATGACACAATCTTCTCAAATCAGTCACCTTATTGGGTAATGACTTCCTTCTTGCTGATCTCGTCTATGTGTCATTGTAAATACTTGTGCGTCCATGTTCCATTTTGGCTACTGGATGGCCCAGTCACATAAGAAAATTTAACTCAAGTATTTATTCTTTACTTTTGTTATTCAGATTTCTTTTAGGCTTGTGAATTGTGCCCCATCATTTGAGTTTAACCAGTTGATTCCCACATCTATCCCTCCCCTGTGAAGCACATTCCATTGCTAAAAGAAAAAGAAATATGAAATAGCTTCCTGTTGTCTATATAAATGTCTTGGTAGCTTGAGAAATTTGTCTATAACGGATATTTCTCAGCTCAATGATTGTGTAAATAATTATATTCCATTACTCAATGGGTTATTTATTTCTAATGAGGCTGCAAGTTCTCACAGAAATTCTGTAAATCACTTTTAAATAACATAAACAGGGATTAAAACTATGTAAAAATAAGTGTGCATATGGACAAAGACTGGGAACACAGAGAATTGAAATCAGTTAAGGTGTGGGATTATGCAAATTTTTTTATTTTAAAAATTTTCTTTGATATTGTTATAATATTGATTTATAATAAATAAGCATCAGAAAGGGGACAATAGAAAAATAGAAAGATGCCAGAGACAGATGCCTTCTGGCCAGAGCCCAGAGCATGCAGGGCACAGATATCTGCTTGTTACAATTATTCCATAGGCTTTATATTTGCTTGGGTGCCGATGTTGCCACACACTCAGTATGGCACTTCCTTTCTTAGGGGATTATTATCTTTAAGTAAAAGCTAGGGAGATGTCACTATTACAACTCTAAACACATATTTCTGCTTTAAAACTAGCTGCTCTCTCCTTTGGTATGGCCTCGAGGTTTCTGTTTTGGTTACTTTATTGGAGAGGTGACATTTGATTAGCCTCCCTTAATAATAAGTGTTTCAGTTATCACCTTTCTGGATCATTTTAGTAGACTTTCAGGTTGAATTTTGGAAGAATAGAAGAATAAGGTTTCCAAACCGCACCATTTCTTTGTCTGACAGGATATTATATCATTCAGGTAGGATTTTTCTTTCAATGACCAGTAGGAAATTCCCATTGATTACAGTAGAAGTTTTATGACTTACAATTAAAAGCTGACTATGAAAACATTAAGACAAATATTTAGAACTGCCCTTGCTTGTTGACATTCACTCACAGTCCTGTTAGTTTTGGTTTGAGATGGCCTCCATGTACTTACTGTATTACTTGATTATGAGTTGTATGCAGTAGTACTCATTGTTAAAGAGAAAAGGGAGACTATCTACCAAAAGAGGGGAACTTCCTTGTAATACACGAAAGAAATTTTAGGTGAGGTCTTTTATAATGAGGTAGTAGCCTCAGATGTTACTCAGTTTTGCCAAGTGCAGACCTTGTACCTAGAGAACCCACAGGCTTTGCACTGACCATTCTCAACATATGGAAGTCTTAACCCTGCTATCCCCAGATGAATCTCATGATCCTTTTCTAAGCTACTTTGAAGTTAAAATTCTGTTAAATAGAGGCATTTCCAGTGGTATGAGCTTCTCCCAATCTCAGCAAGAGGACTGCATTTCAGCATTTGTAAATTGACAGTCTAATAGGTCTTGGATTTTGAGTGAACTTAACACACAGCTCTCAACATGTATTTGCATGTGAATTGGGATGGAAATATGGGGCCTTGGAAATAATGGAAAAATATTTCCTAAGAAATAATTTTTTTCATAACAGATTTGTTAATGATATAATTGCTTTTTTGGTTAGCTTTAGTTTTTTTCTCTCCTTGTCTGATCCCACATTCCTTTAGTAACTAAATGAATATAACCCAACTCCTCATGCACTGGGAATGTCTGCTTAATATTGAACAATATCTAACTGAATCTGAAGATGCAGAAACTGATACATCACCTACATGTGCATACATCTGTGTGCAAGTATACCATAATACAGGTAACATTTACTGCCATGTAATATAGTTGAACTTACAAGATAAACTTATAGAAACTGGGTAGTGCTATCAGAGTCTCCTTTGGAAGCTGCCATCAGGTGACTGCTTTTCCATAATACCAATAGTAAGGCAGTTACCATGTTCACCTCATTTAGTTCCTAAGGGGAAAGCAATAGCAATTATAGAGAATGTCAGATGTAATGGGAGAAGTGTTTATCTAGGAGTAAGGAGGCTGGTTCTGTTACTTACTGTGTGACCTTTGCCAAATCACTTACTCTTTTCCTGGCTATTTCTTTATCTGTAAAATAAGAGTATTGGACTAGATGATCTCCAAGTTCTTTCCAAACGTTCTAACATTCTGTAGTATTATAGGTTGCTTTGTAAATTCAACCTGCTTAAAG